GTCAGACCTGGCTGACTGCTCTTCCCAGCAGATGTCTGGAAAGTTCAGGTCACCCATGATGACCACGTCCTTTGACCTAACTACCTCCATGAGCTGACTTAAGAATTCCTGGTCTAGCTCTTCCCCTTGGTTGGGTGGTCTGTAGTAGACCCCCACCGTTAAGTCTTTCCCCTCGACTGCCTTGTATTCTAACCCAGAGTACTTCTGTGTGCCCCTCCTCTGACTCCGTGCTACTTGATGAGGATGTATTCCTCCTTAATGCAGAGCGCCACACCCCTGCCTTTCTGCCCTGTCCCTCCTGTACAGCCTGTAGCCCTTGATATTCACCACCCAGTCATGCGTTGGGTCCCACCACGTTTCAGTGAGCCCCACTATGTCTGGGTTGGTGTCAGCTAGCAGAAGGGTAAGTTCTTCCTGCTTGTTTCCCATACTACGAGCGTTTGTATAGAGGCATTTGAGGCCTCCTGAGGATGTGTGCACTGGCCCCCTAATCTCAGCATTGCCCTGGCCCCTGTTGCTTCCCTGTGTATATGTTCCACTCATCGGTCTAGTGATTGTTTCTCCCTCTGTTCCCATTTCTTCCTGTCCTGAGTTATCTTTCACAGTGGCAGGCAGGGGCCCTGTCTGGACAGTACAGTACCAGGGTCAGGGATTCACATTGGGTAACTTAAATTTAAGGAAAAAATGCAAATTATGGTGTCGGACACAAGGAGGAGGAGGACCAAGCTGGTGGGTGAGGAGGTTGCAAATCTGGGGCCAAATGCTATTAGACGGACAGAGAGAAACCATTAGGGATACAGAGACCTGTCAATGGGCAGTGAAAGTAGAGGATGTGCCTCAAGCAGCGTATCAGAGGTGGGGATTCTGCTCCACTTTCAGACTCACCATCTGCCAGCTCTGTCATACTTCTGGTATTCTTAGAAGCAGCTGATGCCAGAGCCCTGTTCCCCATGAGCCAAGATACGCCATGTGCTATACTAGGTGAGGCACGTGTTTCCTGACAGCTACATCAGTTTCTGTGGGTAAGATTTCCACACAGGCAGCACTAGGCCAAGGAACTGCTTAAACCCAGAGGTCTTGTGTTGGCCTCCCAGCACAAGGATGAACCTCATTCTCAGTGAAACACATTCCTTTCTCCTCAGAAGGAAAGGACACATCTTGTAAAAGATCCATAACACTTCATGTATCTCCCTTCTCTATCAGTTGGCTGAGTGGAGGAAGGGAAAGTGGGTAAGGTGGTGTAGTCAGTGTGAACCATTTGTGTTTTCTGTCAGACTGGTCAGTACTTAGGGAATCTATGTTCTGCACAGGGTGCACCTAGATCCTATCTTTCTGGCTATTCTAATTGTTGTAGGAGAGCTGTCTGAAGCCAGCTCAGGTTTATATATTTATTTGCTTTCTGCCTGCCTACAGTTAACTTCAGATCATGAAAAATCTCTTGCAGGATCCTGGGCTCCTGCACAGGCCTGATGCAGGCTATCCAGGTGCTAGTCCTGGCTTCTAAGGACCTCCAAAGAGAGATTGTGGAGAGTGGACGGGTAAGCTGGGCCTTACCTCAGGAGTATGTAAGTAGAGAGCTGCACCTTACAAGCCCTCTGTCTACCACAATGGCTCAGCAGGATGGCTTTTGTCCTTCTCAGGCATCTCTAGCAGATTAAGGCCTCTGGAGTAGCGGAGGCCCCTGATTTAAATTAGAAAAATAATTTGCCGAAAGAAGGGGTATGAGCTTCACAGTCTTAGTTTCTGTTAAAGCATCTGGTAGGGGTGGCAGATAAGAAGCTAATGGTCAATACTGACTTCTGAACCAGGAGGTGTTTTCCAAACATGGCCTGCTTTGGGCTTCAAAGAATTTAGTGAGGCCCGGAAGGTAAGTCATAATTGTCTGTGCCAGTCAGAGCCCGTCCCTTCCCATGTTGCTGTGTGGGTCTTGGTTGGCCATAGTGTTTGGGATTTGCGGAGCCCTGTGCAGGCAAGTTAGAACACAACCAAACAGAGTAAGAACAAGGATAAGGGAGCCTGTGTGATTAGAAAAAACAGCTATATCCATCAGTCCCATCTGTGAGGAGCTCTGGCTGGAAACCAGGGTTTTTGCATGCTGGGTGGCATCATCTGAATTAGAGAGAGCTTTACTGACTGTTCTACATTGACTGGCAGCAGCATGCTGGATGTTGCCCGTTCTGTCCTATGGAGCTGGCAGCTGCTGTATTGCATTTAACCAAGCTAGAACCCCTCCCCAGATAAACTGTTTTAGATACAGGGAGCAGAAGCTCTGGAATTGAGTGTGGGAGTGGATATGAGATTGCAAGGGAGCACTGTTATGGAGGCCATGGGAAGGAGAGTCTAAGAGCTCAGACATTAATCCAAATGGAACTGGGCCTACGCTGCAAATGTCTTCCACTGGCCTGGACCAGGTTCTATCCATGGGCCTCTCAGAGTTGATGTATGCCTAGCCTGTTAGGTGCTGTTGTTCCTCACTGGATGACTAGAACTCCTCCCAAGAACCATGGGGTTTGTTGATACATGGGCTGCTGATTCTTCTTCCTCTTTATGTAATGCACCCTCTTGTCTGCCCCAGGAAATGCCAAAAGCCAGGGGTAGAGTCAGTAGGCAGGAGCCACAGTGACTGAGCTGCATTTCTCACTCGCACCCCTTTCTCCAGTGTGTGACCCTGGGTCTTTTTCTTTTTCTACATGACAGGGTGCAGCATCCCCCAGAGAGTTCTATGCCAAGAATTCCCGCTGGACAGAGGGTCTCATTTCTGCCTCCAAAGCTGTGGGCTGGGGAGCAACCATCATGGTGTAAGTGTCCATGACTCCAGGGTAGATGGTAATGGAGGTTTTGCATTGAGTAACAAGAAGTGACAGGGGATGTGGGCAATGAGCTGGACTGGGGCGAGAGAGCTTGAGCACCCCTGGCATCCCTTTGCCCAGGACAAAAGGCCAAGGTAATTTTGTACAGCGGACACGATGGGGAGTGGGATGGCATGTTTGCATAAGGATTCCATTCCCTTTGCTGCCTTCCACAGTGATGCAGCTGACCTTGTGGTGCAGGGGAAAGGGAAGTTTGAGGAGCTGATGGTGTGTTCTCATGAGATCGCAGCCAGCACTGCGCAGCTGGTGGCTGCCTCCAAGGTAGGAGCTTTGATCCAGCCACTTTTCTTTTTCAGAGCCCAGTTTCATACATATAGGACCAGCCACCTTGTCTGTTAAGGTGGAAGATCTTTGCTGCCTCTCAGTTGTTCAGGAAAGGAGAGACCAGCAAGATGGCCTTGCAATTTTCTTGAAAGCACCCTTGAAACTACTGTGGTTGCTCACTTCTGGGTCCACACTGTGACCATGATCTGAATGGCATGGCCTCCAGCAAGGATTCATGATCCATGATATTCCATCAACAGGGGCAAGGCAGCTGCTGAGTTAGGGCTCAGACTGCCATGAACATCAGCTACCTCTCTTCTTGGGGCTCAAGTGTGTGTCTCAGGCACAGCACTAAGAAGGATAAAGCAGTGCTCCTGCAGGAGCTCCAGGAGACAGCCTCCCAGCGGGGGACTTCCCAGCCAGCAGTTAGTGTAGTAGGGGCAGGACTCTCCCCTCATCTCCTTCCTTTGGATGGTACAAGCAGTCACCCCCACCAGTAGCCTCTCCTTCTGAGACAGGGGCCATGGAAAAGCAGCCTCCTTTACATCTCTCTCCCTACACCCAAAGCAGCTGTGGGCTGCCTGTGATCTAGCCCAATGTGCTGAGTACTCTCTGGTATTACAGAAGCTTTTCAGGGCCAGGAGGCAAGCTGAGATAGCCTTCACAGCACAGACAGCTGCTGTTGCCCTTGTTGCTAGCCCCAGACATGGCACTTGGAGTGTGGCTGTTCTGTGATGATGTTCCCTCCAAGAGCCAAACCAGCAGGCAAGTCATTTCCTTTCCTTGCTTGTCCTCCCCATTTGATGAGCTCAAACCTTGTCTTTGATCTGGCAGGTGAAAGCAGATAAGGACAGCGCAAACCTCTCCAAGCTCCAGCAGGCTTCACGAGGTGTTAACCAGGCCACAGCTGGGGTGGTGGCTTCCACCAAGTCTGGAAAGTTACAGATTGAGGAGAAAGGTAAAGTAGCAGGCCCTGGTGTCACTGGTTTGTGGGCTGCAGGCCAGGCCAGCAAGATCTTGCTGCCCTTTTCCTCCCCATTTCTTGAAGGGCTTATTCTTTCATCCTCAGCTCTTCATATTGTTTCTCCAGTCACCATTTCATCATCTCCTTCTATTCATTCATTGCCCAGTTCTACTGATTCATTCATCTATGCCCTCATTGACTGTAGTCCCCTGCACATATTCCCATCAGTCAGTTGGTTGGCCTGCTTAGGATTCTCAGCACTGGGGAGTCTTTGGCTTCTGGAAAAGAAGACCAGAAATAGAGAATATCTCCTTACAAAAACTTGTTTCCTTTTTCTGTAGACAGTATGGACTTCTCCAGCATGACACTAACTCAGATCAAGCGCCAAGAAATGGACTCTCAGGTAGGACCGTAGTCTTATCCTGTATAAAGTACTCCAGTTGTTTTCTAGCATGTTGCAGTCTAGTAAGATACAGTAGGCAAATGCACAGTGCTGCTGATAATGTGGGGCTGGGGAGAGGACTAAAGAAAGTAACTGAAAATTCATTGTGTGTGCTGTTAGCAAGAGTCAGTGCTGGCAGTGAGTGTGAGTGGGGGAGGCAAGAATAGAGGTCCTGAAACAGTGCTGAGACCCAGGAAGTGCTGCTGGCCATCCTCTGATGACAAGACCCTTTCTTCCGTAGGTCCGAGTTTTGGAGCTGGAAAATCAGTTGCAGAAAGAACGCCAGAAGCTGGGGGAGCTGCGCAAGAAGCATTATGAGCTAGCAGGTGTGGCAGAGGGCTGGGATGAGGATGGTAAGTGCTCTGGTGGCAAGGTTCTTTGGGTATATATATCTTTTATTACACCAACTAAATAGTTGGAAAAAAGTTATTTGCAAGCTTTCGGGCACAAACACTCTTCATCAGGCATAGGGAGACTTTGCTGGTGTTATGTGTTCTCCAAGATAGAAAATAAAGTAATTTACAACAAGCAGGTATGTGAAAATGCAAATGAGTGGAAGGTTGGAAGGCAAGGTGGATTTTGAGCAGATCATGGGCAAATCTGGACTTAGCTTGAGGTAGGTGGTAGGCCAGGAAACAAGGGAGGTGGCAGAACTTGTTCTTTGTCTGTTTCCCCTGCACACAGCAACATTGGCCTGGGTGTGAGATCCCAAGGAGCTGCTACTTGTGCTGTTTCATTGGCCTCCTGCAGCACACAACTTCTGCAAGCAGGGCAGTCAGATCACATGATTTCAAACTGAAGCCATCACTTCCCATGAACACTGGAAGGACTCAGGCAGTGGGGAAAGCCCAGGTCCCTGTTACCTGTGAGACCGCTGCATTGGTCCTTCCTTGGGTATCTCAACCCATCTCTGCAGACTGCAAAACAAACCCTGTCCCTTGGAATATTATAGGAATTGCATCTCCAGTCCCAGGCTCCACCAGCAGGGGTGCTATAGGGAATAGGGACAGAGATCTAGCTGGAGGGCAACTTCCGGCTACTCAAGTCCCAGGTTCCAGTAGCAGGGCGCATTGTAGGGAATGGTCTAGGACTGGTTCCCAACCTTTTTATACTGTGGACCAGCAAACTATTTAATTTACATATTTAAATTTAATTTTTACAGGGGGGGAGTTGTAAAGATTGGATTGGGTTGGGGCACCACAGCCATAGGCACCAGGGGACCCTGCAGGGGAGGGGACTGCAGGCAGTGTCCCGGAGGGGACCCAGCTGGAGCTGCCCGTGAAAAAGGGGTTCTGCTGCCTTCCCTAGGAGCAAGCAGCAGAGTTGCCTCCCCACCCCCTGCCCCGGGCATTTCTCCACCTGCATTCCCCTGCTCCCAGCCACAGACAAGACTGAGGTATCCTGCCCAGCCTGGCACAGGCCCTGGTACCTGCTGCGCAGGCAGCACCTCACCAGGCACAGCCATGGTGGTGTGAGTGGGACAGGGCACACGGAGCTGGCTGCCTCCCTCCCGGGACTACCCAGCCGCCCAGCTGTAACCCCATGTGTGGCTGCTGGCAGCAGAAGCCACGACCCAGCAGCCAACCCTTCATGGCCTGGTACTGGGCTGTGCCCCGGTGGTTGGGAACCTCTGGTCTAGGAGCTTGGTCTATGCAAGGGCTCCACAGACTCCCCTAACAGGGTGCCATAAGGATCCAGGCAGGAGCACTGGCTATGGTAAAACTTCCATGCCATTCTGTCCCAGCACAAGGGACTGTAGAGAATTGGAAAGGGATGCTGGCTGTGGGAACCATCCTGCCCCCATCAGGAGCAGTCACTGGTGCCCAGGAACATATGACTACTTGTAGGGGAAATCTGCATTGCAAACAGTGGTGAGCTGGCAGTGGGCGTAGACATACCTGTGCAGATTTTAACCCAGCTGGCTCCAGTACCACTAGCAATGAAGCTTTGGCAGCAAGAACTTCTACCTGCCTTGGGCACTGGCTACCTCCTCAGGGTCCCAGGTTGCACTGGTGCTCTGATTGCTGTGATTTCATTGCTATCAGTCCCCAAGCTTGGCAGGATTAATACTAGCCAAGGTATGGCTATGTGAGCTGCAACCACACTTCTGCCATAGCCATATTCTAAGGGTGAACATAACGCTCCATTTCCCCTCCCCCCCAGCTGCAGACTAGCTTCCAGAACCTGAATCTGCAATGGATGGATGCCTCTTCAGTTGGCCGGGACCCAGCTTTCTGAAGACACACAATAAACTGGTGCAAAATCCAACCTGAAGCACATGTCCTCTGCATTCACAAGGAGCTTCCTCTCAGCGCCATCGGTCGGGGCGGCCCAACCAGTCCTACAGGCTGGGAGGCGCCAGCAGTAGAAGCAAGGCTTCCCCAGCCATGGCAGTGCTGCCTTCCCTCCTTAGCCACAAGACAGAAACACTGCATGTGTATTTATTTGAGCTGCTTTGAGGATCTCTGGGGGCTTGGGGTTTAACCCTTTTGTTTCATTTTTTGCACAGACTCTCTGGACTGTTTCTCCTCAGCGACATCTGGGCTGAGCCCTGCCTGGTGCCCTGGCAGCAAAAGCTTCACTCTGCATACAACTGCTAGGGTGCTGCTCTGACCTCTCCGTGCTTCCCCAGCCCTGCCAGTGCACGTGTTTAACTGGTGGCAAGCAAATGCCCTGCCAGAGGTCCATCCTGGTCTGAACATTTGGAGATGTAGCAAAGCCTCAAATGAGTTCTCTTGCTAGCATTACTGGGCAGGCTCTGGGCATGGTGCTGGGCATTTGTGCCTCCCCCCACTGTGTTTCCCCTCTTGCTTGCTCTGGAGCAGCTGTATCTGTGGGGCAGGCTCTGCTAGGGTTGGGCTGTGCCTTTGCAGTCATCCCAGGGGTGGAGTGGAACCAGTGCCTTTGCTGCTGGAAGAGGCCTGACTGGTGTACTGCAGGCCTGCTCTCCCTTAAGGTCCTACCACGCTAGGAATAGCCATCCCTGGAGCAGCTGACCCCATCTGAGCCCCAGCACATAGCTAGGGGGAACTTGCCTCCTTGAAGGCTGGTGCTTAGAGAGCCTCTGGGGTGTCTGTTTTGTTTGCTGTTGACTGCAGTGGATAGTTCACTGTCCAGCCTCTTCCACAGACTCCTTCTACAGAGATAACATCTTTACAGTCATTGAGACCCGTGATGACTGCAAGTGGGGACTTGGCCTGATAGCAAAGGAGAGGATTTAATGCATTATCAGCCTGTTATCTCAAACTCACCCTCTCTTGAGGAGCAATTCTGTTCCCCAGCTCCAAGCAAAGGAGCAGTGGCCAGTAGGCTCCCAGGCCTTGTTCCCCATCCTTGTGGCATTTAGAGTCCTTGATCACTGTGTTAGTGCCAGCAATAAACCATTGTAAAAGGTGCTTGGCCTCTGGCACAGGGAAGTGTCTGCCTCTGGCTTCCTGCTGCTCCAACACAAGCCTTAGCCCACTGGGAGTGTGCTGCAGCTGGACCAGCCCCTGCCTCCTAGGGATGGGTATACCTGCCCCACCAGCTCAGCACACCTCATAGGCTGGCTAGAAAGTGGAGCTGTGGCACTGTGTCCAGCCAGGCTGTAATCAAACACCCTAAGATAGTTCACCAGTCAGATCAGAATCAGTAGTGAGCACTTGTACAGATGGGAGGAGCCTTGAACAGCAACTAGATTTTGCCCACCTCACCCTCTGCTTTGCCCCAGTGCAGCCATTGGTTAGTGCTGAGCAGAAGCCTCCCCTGCCCTGGGGACCTGGTGCTCTCCCCTGGGCTACCTGCTGTGCATCCCTGCTGGTGCTATTCCTCTGCACGTTCTGATCACTGTGAACCTGCCTCATGCACCTGTGGCCCTGGGAGCTACCATAGGATTTTCTGGGCAGGGGAAATGGGAGAGCAGTCCTGCCTCCCTGTATCCTATCTCCCATCAGTAGATTGAATGGAGAAGGCTGGGGGTGTCATATACTGAAGGTGTATGTTATGTGCCCTCCTTTAGAGCTGGGACTCTAGGGGCAACCTGGGATCATCCAGCTCCCTGCTTCCTACCCTGAGGAACAGATCTCTGGCTCAGTTCTGTGAAGATCTGAACTTGGCCTTCTAAGCCAAGCTGACTGGTCTGAGCACAGCCACACCCTCCTTCCAGACCTGTCCCTGCCCATTCAGACAGCCTTGGCTGGGGCCTGGACTAGGCAAACTGCAATAAGCAATAGCAGTAGCCACTACATTCCACCAACAGAGAGCTTTCCTGAAGGAGAGAGCTTCTGGCACTCTTGAGCTGGAGATGCCTTTGACTGCCCAGGCAGACAAGTACCCTTTCTACTAAAATACAGGCAGCAGTGCAAATGAGGACCAGAGCCAGCATCACCCCTAGGGAGCCCATCTATAGTTAGTGGAGGATAAGCTGGGGGCAAGGTGTAGTTACCAATTCAGACCTAGCACAAGGGTGTCTAGCCCCACCAAATCTTCCTTACCTGGCCAGGGAATACATTCAGTCCATTGAATGTTAGGAAGTGCTATTACCTGTACTCAGCAATGACTTTGAGTAGGGATTTTCATTAAAGACAGATCCCATGGCAGTCTGACAGGGATTTTACATAAATCTGCAGAGGAGTTCCATGAAGGGAGGGTTGCAACTTTGCAACAGCAGAGATTTGCTTTCAGTTGACACTAACAGGAATGCTGAAGTCACCATAGTCCATCTGGCCTGTATCTTGCCTTTTTTGGAGCCTAATACCAATAGAATCCATGTGCTCTGCAGTTTGGAAACCACCTAGTTACCAGAAAACTTGACCTGTTCCTGAGGAGCTGGGCTATCCCTGCTGCTCTCACTCACTCCTGCCAGGTGTGTATAACATGCGTGGAGGCTCCAACCTATCCTGAGCAACCCAACCTTTGGAAGAAGGGGCCAGAGCAAGGATAGCCACTAACTGCTGGCTTTGGCAGGTAATGCCCTGTACTGCCTCAGAAAAGATACAGAGCCAAGGTTACGGCCCTGACTAAATAGCCAACCTCTACCTGCCTGTGTTCCACAGAGTGCTCTAGTGGGGTGAGACCTGCCACCACCTGCAGCAACATAGGACTTTCTGCTGTGGGTTTTCACTGCCCTTCCAGAGTCTGTGTCGTCCACACATGGCATAGCTATAGCAAGTCACTGCTCCGTAATGTGCCTAACTTGCATTCTGCTGCAGGCCTTCACCCCTCCTTGCAGACTCAAGCCAAATACAGTCCCACGGTATCAGTTCCAAGGATCATCCTTGGCCTCCAGGCATCTCTAAAGCAATATAAATAATCCCATTGCTTCAGTACAAGGAGACTTGGGTGGTCCTGAGAATCCTGTCCACCTGTTTCTGGGATCCCGCTATTCAAGGGAACCTCCAACTACCTCAGGTTTCCAGGCTGTGGTCCAAACTGGGTTGTGACCCATGGGACAAACCGAGGAGGAGCAGAAGGGGTTTTGGAGAAGGCTTGGTGACAAAATACAATATCTGTCTCAAACTGAAATGACTTTTATCAACTCCTGTAAGTGATTAAAATAGGTCTTGGCAGGCATCTGGCTCATAAAGGGTTACAGGTGCCACCTGTTTTCCAGTGGGACTTTTAATTACTGTTTTTGTTTTGGTTTTTTCATTGTACAATACGTTGTTTGTGTGTTTTTAATTTTTAAATAAATATTTTGACCCAGCTGTGGCCCAGGCTCCAGGCTTGTTTTGCAGAGTGGGAGCAGTGCTGAAGTATGACGCGAAGCTGGAAGCTCTGGGATGGTAACTGCTGCTCACCCTCAGGTTGCTGGCTTTCCTGAGGATGGTTCTCATCTTTACCTACCCCCATATGAGGATAACTGTCATGAACGACTCACACCCCCAGCAGCTGGGGGGGCACAGCAGCAGCAGGAGTGGGGTGGCGGGAGCGCAGCCGTGGTAAACGTGGAGCTCCCACAGATGCCACCAGTGCTGTCAGCAGTGTGGGCAGAGTGGGGAGTGAGTGCTGACTTGGTTGGTGACCACCCACAGCTACGGACAGGGGGCAGGGCAGGGCTGGGGGAGGGGAAGCTGGCTGGGGGCTGAGGGAGGGAGGATGTTTTGGGGGAGGATATGGAGTGTCTGCCAGCTGACGGGCACTCCTGGTAGGGCTTTCCCCAACACCTTCCCCTCCCTTAGCCTGGGCACTGCTGGCCCTCCACCTCAGCTCATTCTGTGCCTGCTCCCAGGATCGGGGGGGGGGGG